ATGCAGTATGTGAAGGCGTTTGCTTTACATCCAACTGTATTTAAAGAATAGTCAAAGGTATCATGGAGCATTTTTTAAATACGATTTCGTGAATAAGTTTAGCTTTACTGAATATTAGGCCTTTCCTGGAGCGGTAATAGCATAAGTTTTTTATATGGGCGCGAACAGTCGCTTCATTTAATATTTGTGATTAAACGCACATCACTTCTTTGGAGTGCTTTCAGTCGTTTGTGTGTACCCTAAAGTCACAACGGACAGGGAACACTTTCTTTAAGAGGCATTAGGGGATAGCAAGGGACATAGGCTGCAAAGAGGAAGCTCTTGGATGGTACAGGAAGAAGTCAGGACCATAAGTGTTTGTGATGTAGACAAGATAGTGTAAGGTGAGCGATGGGTCAAAGTGTCGCCCGGTAAAACAGTCCTGCTCAGAGTTATCGTTACCTTGGATTGAGCACTCCCAGGATGGAAAGCTAGTGAAACAGAGGGAAGTGTGCAACAGCTGTCGTCTCCTGTGAAAAATCTATGATGGCTATCTGCAAATAAGGCAAAACCAGGAAACATTTCTTTTTTGTTTAAATTGCAAACAACACCTGTATGCCATGAGACAAAGACTGAGGTAACGGCATGCACATGGGAGTATCGTAATGACTCAGTCCTCTGTCTTGCTTATGGAGCCTGCCCCGACACGCTGGATCATGCTCACAGAATCCCTCGGTACACACACGTGGGAATAGTCCTGTGATTCCAGCCACATGAAAGCTTGTGTCCCCGCTATCACCTCCATCGTCATGCTTTTGGTGGTGATAGGGAAGGCAGCGTTGGCTTCCGGTACTGTTCTGCCTGCACAGCGAGCTGGGAATGCACATGCACTCTTGTGCACTTGAATAACAGACACATCAGTGTAAATTAGCATTTCTGCCTCAACTGAATTGTTACTGACTAGCGCGGGGGCCTCGGTGTTGTACTGCGACAGGATTCAGCTCCTGACAACTTCTATCAAGTGTGAAAACACTTTAAAAGGTGAAGAAAAGAAACTCGAACCTACTTTAAGTTCACGTTTCTTGCAAGCATCAGCTTGTTTGTCAGCCTTTGTTCTTTTCGTCGGTCGTCTGGTTGCCATTACTGAAATTTCACCGAACGAAACAGATGAAACGCCAATACGAGGGCTGGACACTCGTGTACGAACTCCGCAGCAAGGCACAAAACCCCGTTCTGCTTCAATTCACAGTAAACACACATACCTCGGGGAAAAACACCGCTAATCTTAACGCGTGAAAAAATGTCCCTCCATTTTGTTGGTGTACGCATGAACTTTTCCGGTTTGGGCTGGGACATTTTCTTGTGTCTGTCAAATTATGGGATCCTGTTTGGTATTGTTTGTCAGTGATTGTTGACGTGTCTTTCAAACTATACCCTAAGAATGAACTATATAGAAAGTGTATGTAGCGGAACCCACAGAGTAAGCGAAGTGAAAGTTTAAAAAGATCGTGGGAACAAAATACAGAGCGAGGTGATCTGGATGTGAAAGACAGAATAATTTGCACGAGACGGGAGAAGATAGGACAACTTGAAGTGAATTGGCTAAGAGTCTTTGAATTAGCGAGCAGATAGAAGAATAGGAAGATAATGAGGGGGGGGGGGGGGTTGGGAAATAACTAAAGAAGAAGAAGAAGAAATAGAGTGGAGCAAGGGATGGGGGGGGGGGGGGGGATTCTATCAAGTCCTTCATGCCCCTAATTGATTAGATGCATTTTTCTATACCCTTGGAATGTTCAAAAATACACCACTGTCATGTAGCAGTCCTTTTGCAGAACATCGATCTCATCTAGGTATGAACGAAATAAATTCTTTCTGTCGCCAGCTCCACTGTCTCGTGCACTTTTGTACCCAGGGTATCACTCATATTAAGTGCCCATCTACGTTCAGATTGGCCCCTGCTCCTCTATATTGGTACCAAACCTTCTGCTATTATTCGTTTCAATCCGCCGTGGCGCTTTATACGGTAAACTATTTAATTTTCCGAGACAAGATGGTGTTTACTAGCCACAATTGTTGATGTTCAGATCCTTTAGAATGTCAATAGAGTCGTAATACATTACACACTCATTTACTCCCCTTTTACTTGTACGTAAATTTGAAAACAGTTTATTTTAAAACTGAAAAAAAAAATAATGTCAAAGGGCTAAGGAAGGATTAAGTGTGAAAACAAACTTAAACAAAATAGAAGTAATGTATTCTAATGTACCCCCTACCGGAAACATATCTGTCAAAGATTTTATATCACTCTACATTAAACAGGTGTATAGACAGAATCCTTTGGCTCGTCAATGACAATGTTTCTGACAGAAACATACACCTGCACACACAATGAGCTCACAGCTGGCCGAGTCCTCGCGTGATCCCTATTAAACCCTTGGTGTAACAGCATATATTGGATTGGTCCGCCTTCTCAACCCAAACCTAACTGCTCCCGAGTCAATGCTGCCCCTTTTCCAGGAATTCGCAAGCACCAACCTGCATCCTGGTCTCATACGGCTATTCTAACAAAACCAGCACAACCGCCGCTCTGACATAAAGTTTTTTTTTTTTTGTTAAGATCCGCCAGGAAGTTATGAAATGGTAAGTGTGCCACGTCGACTGAGACTGGTGCCTCACTTGCGGAGACGGCCTCTAAATACTCACACTAACTCACACTAACTCACACTAACTCACACAACTCACACTAACGTGTACAATATATTAAACAAGGCGTCTGAGGAAAACTTCTACCGAATGTCTGATGGTGTAGAAAAGGGTTCTGTAATTTACTGGAATGTTATATAGAGTCTGTTCTGTTGAATGGCAGAAAATCTTGGAATATGAGCAAACAAATTAACAAGAGTTTGGAGGCAAGTGAGATGTGGTTCTTGCCAGAATAACTACCATTGATTGACTGAAATGACTAATAAAAGTAGAACATTTTAAACAACAACGAGAAAGAGACCAGGTTCTTTGGTTGGGTCGTTGAAAGCATAAGAAAGCCAGGAAACCAAGTCTTACCATCCTATAAAATGTTGGACTGTCCTGTGACGTCATCTGGGGTATGATATTAATAAAGAAACAAATATTGGATAGCTTAAGCTGAAGACATTATTCAACATCTTTGCTTTACTGGAGATATATAACATAGTGAGATGTTTTCAAGTGCCAGCAGAGTGGCGAACTTTCTTTTCAGTCTGCAAAAAATTGCTGGATAGAGACTGATGACAAAAAGATCCGTTGGTGGTGGGGTCGGAAGTTCAAACCTACATTTTTGAGAGCTCTGATGTTGGAAGTGCATTTATTTACACAGATAGATCCATCGTTCGACATGTACAAAGCTCGCGATCTTTTACGGCATTGTTTCGAGAAAGAACTGAAGTAGAAGCTTGACAACAAGTAGTCTGAATATAGAGGCGTTGGCGGTAATTAAAGCACTGATGTGGCTAGACATAATTTTTCCCATACGTGCTTTCTAAGTGGTTTCATGAGCATGCTTGAGATGATCGAGATAGGATGAGTTCGAAGATGAAGGTTGGAGTCACTGAGGAAATCTAGTCTGGTAGGAATCATTTTCATTTGTGTATGTGTGTGCCACGGCACTCTGGAGTAATAGAAAATGAACGAGCCAACTGGCTTGCTAGTACGGCTTCTGTAAGTAAAGGAAAAGCAATGGACTGGGCCCATGTTCTCAATGCTTTCAAGGAGACAGGATGAATTCATGATTCAGGAGGCAATGGTGAATTAACAACATTAAAAAGACTACAAGAACTTCATGTCTATGAGGTTTTGCCAGACCTGGTGTTATCAGTTGCCACACGCTGAAGTATACAATAAAGATTGGATCCGAGCGCCTATGGACTTGTTCTTTGTGAGATAAGGATAATCGGTCGATTAAAAATTAACCGACTAAGTTAATTAATATAAACACATTTGTGGATATCTTCTTCACTAACATGTATAAAGAGATGATTTATCAATACTGTATTTAAAAAAAAATCAGCAGTACACAGTAACATTTTATAAAGTTTCCACTACATACACTATTTTTAAAGAAATAAATCTGAAAACAAACTTATATAAAACGCATATACTAACTATATATTTTACTAGAAAGATGATAGCCAATGCTACACAAACATTCATTTATTGCTCAAATCAAACATTCAATCCTTTTGTTTATCAAACGTGAATCTTCTGCGTCAAGAAACTTGTCTGGTGCAACTTACTTCCTTATCTATAACAACACTGCAGTCATAGCACCCTGAAGGTGTCCAGATATGTACCAGAAAAATCTTCTGCGAAGTAACATTGTCAGGCATGATGTTGATTTCATGATGCGTACAGTACTGATGACTCTATTCAAATATGGGCCAAGCACCATATATTCCATGCGCTACTAACGAGAAAGGGGTCCATTACTTCCGCAATTTACTAAGTGTCCTGAGGAAAATGATGATAATGTGAACTGAAATGAACTGAGAATTATGAAAATAGGCGTGATGGCAGTCAAACTGATATCAAGAAATTGATTCATGGAAAATAAACTTTGATTAGAAAGCTTCATGAAGAGGCATGTAAGTCTTCTTCTTTTTGTTTTCGTCGTTGTTAAAGGCTTTGGCTAGAAAAATGTTCTGTTGTACTTGTTAAAATGTATGTCCTTAAATGCCTCATTGGGTCATGTTTCTTAATCATAATTCGCGTTTTTTGAAATCATTTCACATGTATATTCATGAGATTTACAAAATGACATCGGCTACCTGATCGAATTAGCCTTAAATGGGTACCAGATGAAGTCCTAGGAAGTAAAGGGGTCAGGCGCAAAGCTCATATCACCCACTGAGCTCGATTGGTCTATATAAGACTAGCACTAGCAGGCCAAATTGTCTAGATGTGTGAACAAGGGCCCTTTAATTTTACTTTTACAAAACAAAATAATGTTCATGGGGTGTTTATATCAATGCCGGGGCCTCAGATTCCACTCAAGCCAAGTTATGAGGCTTAGACATGTCTCCATCGTGATGTGGTTGTGGGGTTGTAGCTGCAGGCCATTGTTGTTCTGTATGCATAGGATGAGCTTGGCCTGTATACATCGTGTTTGGATACTGCGAATAAGCAATTTAAATAGAGTGTTCATAATATATACATATTATACACACATTTATGCATACATATGTATACATACATACATACATATATATATACACACACACACCCAGACATGCCAGTGTTTGTGTGTCTGTGTGTGTGTAGGCGAGAGAGAGAGAAAGAGAGAGAGAGAGATAGAGAGAGAGATAGAGAGAGATAGAGTGTGTGTGCATCTGAATGCGCGCCTGCGATTATAACAGTTTCAACTGTATAAATAACTGCATCAAACTGACAAGAATGGTTTGAGGTCTGAACAACGGATCAACATCATAGCACACGGATAGTAACCCGTAAGTGCTCCGTTCTTCTTCTAACTCAAGTCTATGTCCGAAGAAGCTTAGCACAGTTCACAGGCTCTGTAACACCGGCGAGAATCCCGCCATACTTTTGGTAGATTTTAAACTCTAAATTGTTAGCGCTGTTAGGCTAGTCTTTTCGATTTTCATCTGCCAAGGGATTTTTTTTTTTATTTGCACATAAATGCACACGGGCGTCCGATCTCACTACACTAAGACCAGGAGGGAATTACTAGAAGTCCAGATCAACATGAAAAATTCCCAGCCTCTACCGGCAATTGAACCCGGAACCTCTAACACTCGAGGTGGACACTATGCCTCAAGACCACACAGCCCCCTACTGACAAGAATGGTCTAATAAGTTTTGAACTTGTTGCCTAAACTGTAGCCAGATTTTCTTTTCGACATTGTCTGTCCAATCGGATACATACTGAAAACGTGCAATACTCTTCACGCTACCACCCACTCTTCGCCAATGAACTTATCTGTTACACAATGTCACGGGCTTGACACCCCCAGACATACAAACTTGCTGAATGTTTCCTCCATAATCTCACTGTGCAAAAGAAGTGGCTTGCTATATGTATGTATGGACGAAATTTACCAGAATAAAAGAAATAATCTGTATAATCTCTTACCGCATATTGTTGGGCTGGATGTGACTGCATCTGCTGTGTTGAACTGGCAACAATGACTGTACCCCCCGCAGTTGCAGGAAACTGACAAAATAAAGACGACATTTGAGTAAAAATCTTGATCAAAATTTACTAGCAAAAAAAGATTGGCAAGTTCAGACCATCTACAAACCACTAATCCATCAGTCATGTGACTATAGGCTATTTGTGTATCAGTTGTTGATGTGTAATGTCGTCAACTTCATGACGGTAGACCTTGTTCCCGTTCAAATTTCTTTATACCTGCTTAGGATTGCTAAAAAAAAATTTTTCTGTTTTACAAATATCCACCTTGTCCGAATGTTATCTTTTTAGCGTTTACGGGCTGTAAATGAAGGGGGAAAGTTCTGGTTGTTCGTCCAGTTCAGAACTTCATTCTTTTTCCAGAAATCTAGTTTTTTCGTGCACTTTTGCATTCAGACTGTTGGTTCCTTTCCTCTCAGGCAGATGCACTTTGACCTCGGGAAAAAAAAACACACACACCCCTAATTAGTATACTCTTACGAAGCTTATTATTGTGTAGTGGATCAATTCAGCCCCTCCCCTAATGGGACTCCGGAACTCACGCTGAATGTGAGCCACACCGGCATGCATTCGTCTCTATCTCAGGTCAAATTAACGTTTGTTTCCCCACCCCCTGCCAATACACATACTATTTCACTTCTGATTGGTAGTTCCTGAACTTGTCGCCTTGGAACAAGGTTACGGGGGGTGTTCCGCAACGCAGATGATTTCGCGTGCTGTAAATTTCAGCAAGCCAGTGCTTTAACATTCCAAAAACATGGAAAAACTGGGCTTAACACAACCCACTTAGAGAGTTCTGCAACCTTTGTCACAGGCATTCTCATTCTAGGAATGCAAATGTAAATGCAAGACCTTGCATAAAGCAAACAACAGTCCGGGAGACACTCGTAACTTTCAGGAAAGTTGGCCAGCCCAACAAACTTGCGAATGAAAAGTGACCTGGTGTTCGGGTAGATTAACGGGAACCTAACCCTCGCTCTATAACTGACAGCCTACTATTTTATATATATAAAAAAAAAAAAAAAAAATAATATATATATATATATATATTTTTTTTTTTTTTTTTTTTTTTTTTAAGGAAACAAGAAACAGAATGTAGAAGCATTGAAACCTTTCCACGCCATTAGCGCATTGAGCAAATGATAATAGACATCTATTTCTTTACAATAAACGGCAAATGTTTTAATTCCCATGCAATTTACAAGTAACGCGTTTCGATGGCTCAAGTCGGGAGCCGTTGAAAACTTAAAAAATTTCGCTTCAGCGGAAGTATGGTTAAGTATTATCGCTCTGAAACTAGACAAAGATAACTTCGACCAAGTCGCATAAAAAATTGATATCCGACAGTGTCATAATTTGTCTGGGAATTATCATAGAAAATCAAAGCGGCCAGGAAGAGAACAGGTGACCCAGCCTATTTCGTTGACTAGAATATGTGACCGTTTAAACCCTAACATTCCAAAAACATTAACATATATATGACTACATTTACTTTAATCAAAACAGTTACGATTTCATTGAGCTTTTAGGGGGGAAAAAAGAGTTTGTACTAATTTTTACATGAATAAATACGTGTACCTTTGATAAAACTGATAAGACACATTTACCCTTGATAAAACTGTTGGAACAACATTTACCTTCGATAGCACTGTTGTACCAACATTTACCTTTGATAGAACTTTTCGGACAACATTTACCTTGGACATAACTGTTTGGTCAACATTCACTTTTGATAGAATTGTTGGGACAACATTTATCTTTACTATAACTGTTGGGACATCATTTACCTTGGATAGAACTGTTGGGACAACATTTACCTTTGATAAAACTGTTGGGACAACATTTACCTTGGATATAACTGTCGGGACAATATTTACCTTTGATAAAACTGTTAGGTCAAAATTTACCTTGGATATAACTGTCGGGACAACTTTCGCCTTTCATATAAATGTTTGGAAATGGACAACATTTACCTTTTATATAACTGTTTGGACAACATTTACCTTCAATAGAACTGTTGGGACATTTACCTTTGATATAACTGTCGGGATAACATTTACCTTTCAAATAACTGTTTGGACGTGGACACAATTTACCTTTGATATAACTGTCGGGACAACATTTACCTTTCATTTAACTGTTTAGACATGGACAACATTTACCTTTGATAGAATAGCTGTAACTACATTCACCTTTCATAGAACAGATAGGACTACATTTATCGTTGAAAGAGCCGTTTTGACTACATTTACATCAGAAAGAACTGTTGGGACAGCCTTTAACCTTGAAAGCTCTGATAGCATTTACCTATGAAAGAACGGTCTTGACTATGTTTAACTTTCATAGAACATTTAGTTTTATTTCTTTTATTTGACAAAACAGCTGGATCCACATTTACCTTATGGAACATAACTGACATTTCAAAAGTGACTAACTTACCACTTGGGTTACAAGGTGATTAGGTGCCGCGAAGCATAGAAGGAATGAGTCGCTGAAGATGATAACAGTTCCAGCGATATAGACGTAAAATGCCCACTCATAGGTTGTTTGGAGCTGCAGTAGTTTGTTTTCATTGCTGGAGTTAGTTACATAGACAGCAATTGTGGCTAGGCCTGCTCCACCTAAATACATTAAAAAACAGCAGCGGGATAACTATGAGATACGCAAACGTCTTGTATCATCGTCATCATCATCATTAACTAACACTTTTGCGAAGGCGATTGCGACAAAAAACAAACCCGTATCCAGTCTGTTGGATACAGGGGTGCAACCTGCCAGACATGAACTAAGGGACAAGACGTTTCATTAACTTCCATTTAACCGGTGTGATCTTTTATGTAAGGCTTGTGGAGCTTCTGAAACGACCAGAGCACCTGCAGACACATCTTGAGTTCCCAGTTAAAAGAACAATGTCATTTGCTTTGTCAGTCCGTTTTCTTCTTACGCATCATCTGGTTATCGTATTAAATGTTAGGCTCTCGCGCACATACTATGACTTGCTTGCCACCAGCTGCAAACAGGATGCCACTAAACATCCAACTGTATTTGTTGCGTCTACTCAAAGCCGTGCTGGTTGGTATCTAGATTCATTATCCATCTGGGGTTTGAGCCCGGAGTTTGACTGAGCACCAGATATGACTAAGATTTAACAATTACGCATAACTTCTGTGTGTGCATTTGTGTTAAAGCCTAATATATTCAATGAGCTTATTGAGTTCTTTGAGTTAATATATTCATCTGCTAGACTTCCGGCCAAAATGGAGGAAAGGCTTGGCAGAATGTAAAGCTTCGAAGTTATTTTTGCTTCCAACAGCGCTTTGCTAATGCAGTTTCCAAATAAGAATAGTAAGTAGTCTTTAGTTTCGCTGCATGAGCTACTGAGTTTAGTACTTGGTCGCAGTCCTGTAAGCTGTGTTTTTCCTAAGGAATGCCTTTCATTTGTGCATCGGATGTTTTCAGTATGGCCGGTAGCCGGTTTACGTGTGAGTTGGTGAAATACCTTATGTAATAATTATATGTGTGTTTAGTAACCAACTTATCGTGCCCGACTATTTCCATGTACGATAATCTCAATTTCTGGTGGCGATTTTTTAATTTGGCGCCTCTATCAACTGAAATACACCTTTAATCCGTGCACATAATTCTGGATTGTTCCAGGACTAATTGTTTGTTCAACATTTTTTTTCAAATGCGACAGTGAGGGATATTATATTTGATTTTCACAGGCAGAGGGACAGAGCAAGCATGGGGAATCCCCGATTGCGTTGATGGTAAAACCTCGACTAAGACAGATATCTCTCCTGCTAATCATCATTAGCTTGTAGAAGCATTGTTACCTTTCATCGGGATCTCATAAAAATGCTTCATAAAGAACTTTATTCACACAAGAAAGATCACTCAAAAGAATGATTTAAAACCAGTGGTAGAGGTATTATGTTTGTTTTTTAGGCGAATGACAGGGTCTTCTTCTTAAACCCCTACTTACCTTATTTCTTTGAGTATCTCAGCCACCCAGTCCAAGGGAATTACATTGTCTCAATGTGAGTCCTATTCAACACCAGCGCACTTTGCTCACTTCGTACACTTGAATATCTTTATTTCTATGCAAATCTGCATTTATATCATACCGTTTTATTCCCTCAATTCTGCGAGGGCACCAGACAATTTATGTTTATGCTTTACCTGTAATTGTTTCATTACAGTAACTGACTACCTACCTGCAAGGAATGCGCATATTCCATGACCGATTGTCTTTCCACCTGGGCAACAGCACATTTGACACAAA